ATTATTAATTTTAATAGACATTTACAGAGGTTTTGGATTTCCATTCATTCATTGCTGCACTTTTCTCCCTGCCCACCCTCCCCACCAGCTCACTCCCCCCTCCGAAGAGAAAATGAAAAAAAAATTCCTTCATTAGTATGTTTTCTAATCAACTGACCAAGTAGTTAACTTCCAAATTTCTTGGCATAGATTAATTAGTAAGGAAAACCAGGGCTGCATCTTTTTGTTAATACATGTCAGTTGGTATTCCATTAATTACTGAGGCTTTTTTATTTGCCAATGCCTTCAGTGCAGCTTTAATTTCTTCCTTCGTTACTACTGGTTATTAATCATATGCTACTTCCTGAAATGGTCTAATATCAACTTATTCTTTTTGGTGCAGTGACTCTATGTGTTCCTTCTATCTTCTTATGATGCTTCATGCATGATTCAAGATTTTGCCTCTTGAATCTTACCATATTACAACTGGAGACTTGAATGTCTTTTTTCTAGTTCTTTTAGGTTGATAAACGCAGAGCTGAGTTCTGCCCTTTCAATTTCCTAACTCCAGCTCCTTGCACATTTTGTTTGAATACTTTGCCTTCATGAACTGCCTGTGGGAATCTTTTGCTCATCTCTTTTGTCTCAGCATTTCCCCCCTTTCTTTTGGCTTTTTGACATTTTAGTGAAATTTTTAGAATCTCTTCTGATACCCCTTTTGGTCTTTCTTCCATATCTACTCCTTAGGTAGGTAGACCACCAGGAAAGTTAAGCGTTCCACCTGCTGCAGCTGTCAATTCTCCTTATTTCTGCCAATTTATCAGTGGCTGCAGCAGTAATACAGACATTGAAAAGGGAAGGTGGAAGAAAGTGTGCAACAATGAATGAAAAAAATTTTTTATGTGCACTTATTACGGTATTAATGCAATAGTCAAATCACCTACTAGCCTAGGTCACAGAAAGCAATATAGAGGTTGTGATATATATTTGTCCCCTTTAGTATATAAAGTTGACCTATTAACATACTATTTGTGTTTAAATTTTCAGTTTTTTTCCTTTAATTTTTTTCTATTAAATTTATTTTAATGAAAGTTTCCAGAGACTTTGGAATTCCATTCATTCATTGTTCCACTTTTCTCCCTGCCCACCCCTCCACCTTAATTCACTTTTCTTTTTGAAAAATAAAAGAAAAAATTCTTTCACTGTTATTCAATCCCTCTCCACCCCCCAAGTTCACTCCGCTACGCTACCTTTAGTCTCTGCTTTTTCTGTTGATTTTGAAAAATAATGATGATTATTATAATTTATTGGATATCTGTAATAAAAAGTAGTTATTATCCTGTTATAGAAGCAGGGAGACAGAAGTTTGTGGAGGTAAATTTAACTTGATCACATTTACGTAGCCTGGTGATGTTTGAGCCGGGCTTTGATTAAAGATCACTCTGATCCCACATTCTCTTGTTTTTGTCACCTTTGGTTTAGGTACATGCTTTGTTGACTCATTTTTTCTTTGGTGAAACTTTGTAAAGGAAGACTGAGAAAAGAACAGAGCTGAATAAATTATAGGTTAACCTGAAGATTTATTTGATTGAGTTTAATTTTAAAAGTTCACTGTAATTTGCACAGATTAGGAAAATTGTAATATGTGATCTAATTGTATAAAAATTTCTACTGAACAGGTTAACTTTACTAATATTTTATTTCACCTTGCCTTTGAGATTTCAAGATACTTTGTTTCAAAGTGAAGTTATTCTTCGAACAGTCCAGAATAGCCTACTGAAAATCAAGGATATTGGCACAAATTAAATATGTTACTAATATATTTTACTTGTAGCACAAAGTTTTCTCATTTCTCTGTGTTGCTTATGTCTGTTTTCTTTCACAGCATGTGTAGAAGACTATACAGGTGACTATGGAACATTCAGTTCTAAAAACTTCCCCAGTAACTATCCCAACAACTGGGAATGCATTTATAAGATCACGGTGGGAACTGGTCAACAGATTGCATTGCATTTTACAAACTTCTCATTGGAGGAAAGCATTGGTCATTGCGCAGATTTTGTGGAAATCAGGCAAGCTCTTTTATTTATGCCACTATAATCATTCCTGGTATCACCTGTAAGATTACAGAAAAAGCATTTCTCTGGAAAACGTCCTGTGTACTTTGCAAGAGATAAAAGCCAGTGGTTATTTTTATCTGATTCTCTTATAGGGAATAAGTGAAAATGAACTCAGATTTGATTGTGTACTTTGCAGTCAGCTGACTCTGGCAAATTGTCAGGGGTGGTAAATCACAGGAGAGGAGATTGCCTATCCTTCTTCTGTGGAGCAGCCGGGAAATTCAAACTGCATGCCTTTGGATTGACAGTGCAGCTTCTTAGGAAGCCCCTGGAGCACCTTTAGTTTCTATTAGGGTTTTCTTAGAGTAAACAGATGTCCTGCTGCTCTCGACATAGATTCTTAGTATTGATGAATACATTCTTTCTTTAAGTAAAATTAACTGAAATTTTAAGTTGTCCACCTAGTGTAATCAAATCACAATAAACCAAGATGGTGATCTTAAAGATAATCAAAGGTTTTTTGTGTTCAGATAATAGGAATCTGGATTGGCAAATTTTAATTAAAAATATTTTTTCATTCATTTTTTTTGGCATTTTAAAATGTCAAAGTGTTTTAAAAATTACATTTTTAGTAAAAGACAATGAATTTATATGTTGATAATTAGTCAGATAATTAAGTATCTACGGCACATAACAAATTAGACTAATTTATTATTAATATATTAGTAATAAATTATGCAGTCTTTATTATTTGCCATTTCAAATGTCTAGTTTCTTTTTTATTTCAGTTGTGGTGAAAATATGCATGGCTAAACAACATCTGCCAATAACATTCTTTTAAAAAATATTAATTTGTATAAATTAGCCACTACACTTTACACTAAGGCCCCAAAGGGCCTGACAACAAGTTGAGTTCATTACACAGCATCTCTCCAGTGGGTTATGAAGACCATAAGTATTAGAGAGAGGAAACTGTTCATCTGGTCCCTCAGAAGGGTTGATGGACAAAAATCACTGTCGATAAGCAGGTGTTTTCTTAGTAATACAGCAAGATGCAGACTATATTTCAGTGCTGAGACCCCCACCCATTTTTTTCACCTGAAAATGTGTGAATTACAAACGAGGTCTAAGACTCTAAAAGCTCTTAAGAAAAGGAATATAGGAAATTTTGTTAAGTATAGTGAAACTTTGGACTTGTTGCCAGGAGGTGCCATCCGTTGGAAAATGGCATCATGCTTTGAAAAAGTAGAGGGTCAGAGAAATAACATCAAAGAGATGTAGTGACACAGTAATGGCAAATGTGGCTTGAGTATGGTGGAGATTGTTAGGATGACACAGGATAGGGCAAGGTTCTGATCTGCAGTTTAGAGTCTCCGTGAGTGTAGCCCATTTGATGGTCTTTAACAACAGCATCACATTTTTAAAAACTGCAAATTGGCAAACATATAATGTGGTTGTTGTTGTTATGTACTACTGAGTTGCCTGCGACTCATAGTGACCCTATATACAACAGACCTCAACCCTGCTCTATCTTGTGCCAATCTTATTGTTTCTGATACACCTACTCCATTATCCCAGTCACTGAATCAATCCATCTCATTGAGGGTCTTCCTTCCTTTCACTGTCCCTTCACCCTCCCAAGCATGACCTCCCTCTCCAAGTATTGATCCCACCTTGCAACATGTCCAAAGTATGTCAGACAAAGCTTCAGAATCCTTGCCTCCAAGTAGCAGCCTGCTTCACCCTCTCCAGGGTGTTTGTTCTCCTAGCAGTCCATGCACCACCGCTCAAAGGCATCAATTCTACTTCTGCCATCCCTAGTCATTGTCCAGCTTTCAGATGCATAGCAAGTAATTGTAAAGACCATGGCCTGTATCCTGTACACCTTAGTCTCTAGACTGACATTATTCCTCTTCAGTACTTTGGAGAGGTCTCTGACAGCAAATTTTCCCAATGCAATTTGTCTTTTAATTTCCTGGCTGCTGGTACCAAGAGTGTTGATTGTAGGGGCAAGCAAACTGAAGCTGGTAGAGGCTTTTACTTTTAACAGTAAAGATTAAACATGTTTTTAAAATTTTTGCCCAGTTCTATAAACTGTCATGTCAGACTTAATTGACAGATGTTCTTTACTAAGTTTTAAGGTTTTCTATAGCATATAAGAAAGTAAACAAATAAAAACCTGAAATTGTGTTTTTTAAGACTATTTAATTGACCTAAACTGACCTCTTTATAACCCTGAATTCAAATTGTGTATGATAAAGTGTATTGTCAATAATTTAGTGAATTACAAAATACATGTTTTATAACAGAGATGGCGGCTATGAAAATTCACCACTCATTGGCACATACTGTGGTTCAAATCCACCTCCAACAATCATCTCTCACAGTAACAAACTATGGATAAATTTTACAAGTGACTTAGTATACTCAAGTTCTGGATTCTCCGCTTACTGGGATGGATCAACAACAGGTAATTGGCAAATGGTTCTCTTGCTTTAGAGAGTCTATTGTGAGGTTTGTTCCTCTTGATTCTCAGATTGTACTAGTCTGTCACTTGTCTATATTTTTCTCAAAATGGTTTTGCCCTCACTATTTGGAACTGAGAGGAGCTCTAGTGGCCTAATAGGGAAGGAGTTACATGCCCAACCCAAAGGTGTATGTTTTGAATCCACCGTCTGCTCCTTGGAAGAAAGATGGGCGGTATCCTCCCATATAATTTACAGCCTGCATAAACTTACTGGAGCTATTAGTGGGTTCAACTCAATGCCCAGTTTTTGAGTATTTGTAATAAACTTCAACATTGTCTGTATTTCTGAACATGGGAGGGGAAGTATTCTAGTATGCTTCATCAAGCTAGACATTTGAATTAGAAAAAGGAAATTGCATTGCAATGAGTAGGGAGCAGAGGCTAGCTACTTTGTTGTGATGCACTATCATTTGACAGCTTGGTTTAAAACAGAAAGCACTGCCATCAATTTTATATAGGTGAGAAGATTCACTTTTACCAGGAAAGAAAAGATGTTGTCATTCCACCTTTTTCCTTTTCAGGTTGTGGAGGCAATCTCACTACTCCCACAGGCACCTTCACGTCCCCCAACTACCCAATGCCATACTACCACAGCTCTGAATGCTACTGGTTATTGAAATCCAGCCATGGAAGCCCATTTGAACTGACTTTTGAAGCTTTCCACTTGGAATATCACCCACAGTGCACTTTAGATTATTTGGCTGTATGTATAATTTTTCCATTATATTGCTATGTGCACAGGATAGGACAAGTTTCAGTCTGTTGGTCACGGGATGATAATTTTTTTTTTACAGGATGATAATTAGTTATGTCCAACTTTAGGTTCCTCAGTTCCTTGAGTTTAAGAAATGCTGAGCGAGTTTGGCCCTTTTGATTTTCTGACTCCAACTCCTTGCACATTTCATTGTAATATTTTATTTTGTCATCCTGTG